TGGAAGTGTCGTGATTATCGCGAAGATGATCACTCAGACCGTGACCACATACTGGACTTTACCGAAGTCCGAGAACGAGAAATCACGACTGAGACTACTAATATCGTCGATAAAGCGCCTTCAAATGAGAGGACTGCGGAGTCAAAATCCAGCCACGAGGTGAAGGAGTCTTCCACGATTGTGGTCACCTCTATTGCCCCAGCGCCTACAACCCCACAACGTGCGAATACTCCTCGTGAAGCAACTGAGCGTGCGATGCGAGATCTGGAAAGAGGACATCAGGCCAAGATCCTTTCCTTGGATAATGATGCTGTGGCTCCAGCTCTGGCTAAACAGATGATACCAGGAGCTGAGGGCGCCACTACGCCGGCAGATGAGGACCATCCACCTCCTGGCAATGGAGCAACCGTGCCAACACCGAATGTGGTTGCGATCGACAATAAGATAGAGCAAGCCATGGACCTAGTGAAAACTCATCTGACATTCGCCGTTCGTGAAGAGGTGGAGGTGTTGCGGCAGACGATTGCCGAACTCGAACAGCGGGTTGCATCCCTGGAAAGTGAGAATCAGCTGCTGCGACAGTACGCGCCAGCAGACGTTCTGGCCAACATCAGCACCTTAGTCCAGCAGAGAAAACTCGCCAGCGCCGCTGCACCACCAGCCCAAAATCCACCCGTTGTTGCTCCTCCGAAGAAATAATGCCGGTTAAAAAATGAATAGCAGAATATCAGTACTCTCGATATTTTTATAAACGTTAGTTAATTGGAGTTTTGCGTGTATCTCCTTTTTTCCTGCTCTTTTTAAAATTACATTTCTTCATTTTATTGCTGAGCTATTTCCCTTGTATCTACGAAATGCCTATGCCAATGTTGGTTTAATACTTTACCCGAATTTCAATTCTGATCTTCTTTGCTGTTTGTCTACAAAGCGCTTCCAGTGCTGAATTGAAGCTTTATATAGTCTTTTTTACATTGAAGGTTGTAATGTTCATCAGATCTAAAGTGATAAATATAAAGACTAATTCTATGGGAAAGGTTTAAGTTGTGGTATAGCAATCGCTTATATTTGGAACATATTACCGAACAGTCAGTTATCTGGGCTATATCGTCG